TGCTTCGAAGGCCTCTAACAGTACACGCACAACATTTTACGAACTGCACACCTTATTTCAGCCACTCTTCACAGTTAGCTTTGTGAATATTGTAATAGTAGTTACTGTTTGTTTTTGATCATTTGGATAGCCTCCTATCACCTCAGCATTTTTAGAAAGCGAGCTATGTTAGCCAGACACCAACATTAGCCCGATTTTCAAAGCTAGCTAAAGTTTGATCGGTTTTTAACATTCTCTGCTCGAAAGGGCTCAGGAATTAAAAGTGACTGACATGCATGGTATTCAGTTCAGTTTTATTTGTCACACCAGTAATAATACCAAAGTTATCTCAGGACACTTTTCAAATAGAGCAGGTCTAGACCGAACTCCTTATAACATTATTTACAGAGACCAACAGGTTACCACATGAGCAAGACCTTGGCGACGGTGGCAAGGAAAAACTTCCTTTTAACAGGCAGAAACCTAGGACAGACCCCCTTGGTTAGCTGACTGGCTAAGCTAGCTCGCTTTTTAAAAACACAGGTGATCAGGCTATTCGAATGATCAAAATCAAACAGTAAATACTATTAACATTTTTTTACAAAGCTAACTGTGCAGTGGTTAAAATAATGATGAAACAGCACTAACAGGAAGTAAACAGACGTGTAGTTTGTAAAACAGATATACGTCACACTACAATGCAAAGTATAGAAACTGTCCCTGCAGTTGTCGGGGTTCGTACTATACAGTTCAACAGATTGCATAAGAATATAAAACTCCCTAATAACTAACATCGAACTGTTTGAACCCTTCATTTAATTTCACTTCTGGCTTTTATAATTCAGACAAACTTACTAATATTTTGACCAATGATTGGTATGTGTGCACAAATATCACTTAAATTTATCAATGCAACTTCTAAACCATTTTGTTTAAAGAATACCATAATTATACATTATGCTTTAAAACCTTAAATAATGTAAAAATATCAAAGAAGACAAAAAGACTTTTAAGTCCAGTCCAACTGGGATGTTTTTCAGAAAATACGGACAGGTAGCAGCTCTCAATTTTCAGGTCAGGCTGAAAAAATGTTCACATTTCACTTATTTATTTAGATTTTGGGGTTTAGGACTCTGCTGAGAATCTCATTGTCAAAGCACAACCTTCTAAAAAACATTTTTCACACTGTTTGTGTTTCAGGATAATGGGCCGTCGTAACAATGGCGTTGCACTGTAGCTAGTTAGCAATCGAGTACTGAATGTTGAGCCACAGATAAAGTTAGCAGAAGGTCAATAACAGCCTAAATTATACTTTTAATTTCATTACATTAATATTTTTATCTTTTTAATCATCAGGATCTTTGTATTCGGAGCAGCAGCTTCTGTCAGTCTGTGACATATAACGTTAGCTAATGCTAGCTTAGATTGCGTAGCAGCTACAACAGAATATCTTCAGCTTTAATGAACAGACGTTACCAGCAGTTTGTCATTACGGCCAACAGTACACAGCAGTCGTCACTAAATATTAAGTATCACGCTAATGTAGCTGCTACCACTAAATGTGAGCATCGTAAAATGATTCTGACAGTTAAAGCAACAGTTTGGGAAATACTCAACAAACATTGACTTCATCTTTGTGTTCAGAGCTGGTGTCTGGAAGTGGTTAGCCTAGCTTAGCACTAATTCGTCATCAAATACTTCCGGCACGTACCTCTTTGTTGAATTCTTTTATGCTCAGATTAAAACAAATGAGATAAAAGTCAATTAGTAAACTTTATGTTTCCCCAAAAGGTTGAACTTCCTGTCAGAATCGGTAAGCTAATGTTTCTCTTGTACTATGTCTAGTAACCAAGTCTGTTAATAGTTCTGTGAGTATTGTAGTTTTTTGTTGTAGCTTAAATTAATTTTTATGCTCACAAAATAATAATTTGCTTATTGAGTCTGAGCAAGATTTCAGGACTTCAGGTCACGATATTTCCAAAGCCATCTGTGTATCCAGGTAAAATCTGACCTCAATTTGGTCAAAAAGTTTTTTAGATGTTTAGGTTACATTAAGCATTATTGATTATCTGCAGTTAGGACTTGTTTCACACTGAAATATTGAGTTTGGGTTCCAGTGGAGACAAAATACTTTTGGTCACTTTTGGTCTGAAAATGTTCAGATTTAAGGATCTCCTGTCTCAGAAACATCTTTATCTCCGGTCAGTGAACTGCTGGCGAACAGAGACGAACTTGTTTGAATCCATTTTGATACGAAGGCGATTCTCCTTTTCCTAAAAACTGTGACTCACCTGTACATTCACTTTCTCTGTGGATTCGTTGGACTTTTTCCTGGATTCACCTCGTTTTGATTTAACGTTTGTTTGGAGAAAGGATCGCAGTGGATACGTTTGTGGATTTTCTGGTATTTTTGCTCTTTTTCCCGTCAAACTCTGGACGGCTGAAATCAACTGATGCAAATATATTTGAAAGGTTGGAGTTGAATCTTGAACTGGATTAAAAGCAGATTGATGTCTCTGTCGTTGTTTTTCTAAGACGATATAAAAGTTGCCCGACACTTTGGAAAGAAAATGCAAACAGCTAACCCTACTAGCAGCCCAACGTCAACCATCACTGCTCGACTATAATGTGACATATGCAACCAATTTCTGTTGGTTTGTTATCTTGTTTTGTAAAGATATGCTTTGACTTTAGGGAAAACAATTATAGAAACATATTTTGAAAGGATCATATTCTTGATTTTTGGTTGTAAACGACAGAAATAAGGATTATTATTATTACTGTTACTGTTGCTAGTGCACATGTGCTGTAATTGTTCTTTATTGGTGTAGTCGATCATCTTATTGTTTCAATAATTCCCATAAGAATTTGTTTCATGTTCGGTTCGTGATATTTTTCTAAAGCGTTCCCGATGCATGCGTTCGGACCAGTCGTCGTGTCGGACAGAGGAAGTGATGTTGGTTGTGTAAATTGATGAAATTCTGAGGATGATTAAATGAGAATTATTACGTTTGATTTCATAAAGCTTGTGTTATATTGATAAAATATGAATTATTGAGGATAATATTAAAAAAGCTGAAAGAAGCTTCCATGGTTTTAGTCCGGTGCAGTGTCTGAGTAAATAGAATAAAACATTGTCCATTAAAACACACAAACAGGTGTCTCTTTTCATTCAGATTTATGGAATTTATTCTGTTTCTTTTTGTTGTTTCATGTAAACATATTTTGATCAGAACAGATCAGCAGATTGGTTCAGCCAGCAGAGGTGAAATGTAAAAGTACAGACTCTGAAATGTACTCAGAGTTTAAAAGTAAAAGTACTTTCTTGGTTTCTGCCAGCTGTTTGCTGTCTGTGCAAACCTGAAAACAGATTCTACTTCCCACCTCTGGCCATGAGTCCTCGCAGTCCACACAGCACGCCATGTGTCGACTACGGCATGAAAATTTCACGTAAATCAGAGGACGATCACCATATAAGGATTACTTCCTGAAGACTTACTGAATATTAGCATTTGTTCAGGGCAGGACTCTTATCAAACTTCAATGAAGTTTGGTGCTGATTTTAGAATGTACTTTACAACAACTTCCTGTTTAATTGTGAAACTTTAATCTTTGCCGCCACGCCACGGACGGAAAACTTTGATAAGTTTTCATCATTAATGTCTAGATCTAAATTTGAAGTCGATCCGATAGTTCTGTTGGAGTTCATTAAAGTAAAACGCCTGGAACGTTAAACGTACTTTTTCACCACCGCTGAATTTACAAAACAATCTATACCAGTCAAGCACCATACTTAGAAATGAATGATTTCTCTCTGAGAGTTAAAGTATTTATTGATTGATTGATCAGATCGGGAACAGTACGGTGGGATGTGAGAAGATATTCTGTATAAAAATAGACAAGCGTGTAAACTGCTGCGCTGCGTTCAGGCGTCTGTTCAGGACATTAGTACGCTGCTGAGGGTAAAACGATCTATTAATACTCTGCAGAGGTTGTGGAGGTAGAATTTCATACATGCTGGATGTTAAGAGATTTTCACACTCAACAGCTGAGTGTGTGTGTGTGTGTGTGTGTGTGTGTGTTCTCCACTCGACTGGAGGAAAGTGTTTGAGGTGATGTTTGCTGTTCCTAAACATTCATACAGGTTTCGAGACTCCCAGTTGGCTGATTTAGATTCATTTTGAGGTTCTTAATGAAGCTCAGTGTCACAGTGTGACGTAATATTTCTTAAGATGTCTTCAGCTCCTCAGCAGTTCATCATATAAACAACCTCAGAATAAATCACAAACACTGGGAGCTGAAATATGACCACTTCCTGTTTAAACGACCATTTTATATTTTGATGGATTCAGCGTCCTCAATAACCCCAAAACCTCTTATAGTGTCTAAATCAGCTGCTATGATATTGTCCATACACAATTGTTGAGAAACTTCAGTCTTCAACTGTCTTCACTGATATTTAAGTTTTAGGTCAAACTCAAACTTTTAAGTTTTGAAATAAACCTATAATCTTTTGTTGAGGTAATTTAACTTTATTCTTTAGAAAAACTTTTAGAAACAAAAAATGCTGTATTTCAAACAGTTTTCAAAGATTTTATTATTTGGTAACTGTTTTCACTGTAATCATTTTTCCTAAGAAAGCTCCTGTCTATCAGTGAGTAAACTGACTGTAGTTTTCTTACACGCCTTAAAACCAAGAAGTCCCTACGACCCCTTGTGAAGCTTTGGCGACACCTAGCAGGGGGCCCGACCCTCAGTTTGGAATTGTTAAGATTAGTTTCCTGAACAATTTTTGAAATAGATTTTTTCTTTTCTAAAACTTTAAGATTCAAGTTTTTCTAAAGAATAAAAGTAAATTATCATCAAGAGTTTGACTAAAAAATGTAACAGACAGCTGCAGAGTTAGTTTGTTTTACAGTGTAGACTGTAATAATGTTCTTCCTGTGGAGACCATGTGATGAAGAGAAGTCTGCTTTTACTGAAATAAACAATCATTATGTTTCTGTCCGTCACCCCGTCCGGTTCACCGGCAGATTCTGGTGACTGAATCAAACGTCCACAGTTTGACCTGATTCTGCTTTAATTCCAGTGAGAAAATGATCAAACAAATATTATTAAATATTAAACACCATGCACACCTCCTCGTTCAGACCCTTCAGACTGACTTCGTACAGTTCTTCGTCTGTTCAGTGGTTGTTTCCATTCGAGCTTCATCCAGTGAAAAAGTACCAACAAAAAGTACCAGAATCCTTTGTGCTTCTGCTCGAGTTCAGAGTTCATCCTCAAAGAGTTCCTGATGACTCGGTCGACAGCGATCATCCCACTCCACTCACAGTTCGGTTCATCATTTCTGTCAGTGTCCATAAAGTTTAACTCGCCAACTTCAGTAGGTAACTTTTATAAAAAATTACTTTTTGTTGTATTTTGTGTGAAAGAATCCGGTTCCTCGGGCTCCTCCTCGTGCTCCTGATGGACCTGAACAAGAGCAACCAATCAGAGCAGAGAAAGATATCTGATTGTTGAGTCTGATACTCAGGTTGTCTGATACCGACACCGGGATCTTTGTTTCATTGCTGCGTCTTAAAATTCCTGATTTCACAGCAGCTTTTACAAAAAATCTGATGTTTTTATACTTTTTTTTTGTAATGAAATTGATTATTTGTATAATTTGTTAAAAATTGGAGGCAACTTGTTCCAGTAAGAATAAAATGTGAGCAGTTTGGTGATGTATGGATCAACGTTTTACTTATATCTTTAGTGAAAGTCCAGTGTTGCGGTGATTGGATAAAAATTCAGGGTTTGCAGTCATAGAATCTATGAAAATGACCAAATATCTAACTTTTCAAATAATCTTCACTGTAAAAAAGAAACGTTGAGAAAAGTCATAATTTTAAAGAAGTTTTGAAATAAGCAAAAAAAAATTTAACCAAAGAAAAAAGGTTTCACAGGCGCGTGCAGACTTCTCGAGGGTCGGCTGAACTTGTGTTAATCGTTGTGGCTGAATAGAACCTCCAACCAGGTCCATTAAACAACTTAATGAAACGTCTCAAACACAGTGGAGGTCTTTATGGGTTCAGGATTTTTGACCTGATGGATCCTCGAAGAAACCGGACTGACAGAGATTCATTGGATCGTGTCCTCCGACGTTAAACTGACAGAAATGTTGAATGAAACTATGAAACAGTTTGAATCCTATGACAGACGCTCCATTTCGAACTGGAGGTCACTGGGTTTGGCGACGGCAGCGGCACCAGCACAGCCTTTATTTGTGTGGTTGCAGCTGGACGAGGGCCCGAGTGTCGCTGCGAGGGGGGAGGAGTCATCTGGAGGCGGCGCTGTGGAGTCCAGCTCTGGAGACTTTCGCCCGTAATAAAGCGCCCAGAGCAGCGTGAGTGTGAGCGCCATCGCCAGGATCTGAGCCACGCCAATGGACACGCCCAGGAAGCGCAACGCCTGCAGCTGCTTCGTCCCTCGGATGAAGGCGTAGATCTTCGGCCCGCAGCCCTGAAACACAGATCACAGTCAGACACTGACACCTGATGAGTCTCGGCCAATCAGAGGTGATGGCGGCGGGGGCTCACCTCTTGGTGGAGGTCACTGAGGTCGTGGTAGTGGGCGTGGCGAGCACATCCCGGATACGGATCAGAGCAGCAGGAATCGGGTGGCCACTCCATCTCCGTCATCTCCAGCCAGTCAGTGAAGTAGATCACCCCGCAGCATTTAAACTGTGCACAGGTAAACACACCTGTCAGCATGCAGGTCACATGACCACAGCGTGTGTGTGTGTGTGACCTCTGACCTCTGTCTGGAAGCTGTTCCAGGTGTGTGTGAGCCACTGGTAACGCTGCAGGCCGTAGTTTGGCATCCGAGACTTCAGACTGATCATATCAGAGCGCTGCACTGCGGGCTGCACACACACACACATACACACACATAAACACACACACAGACACACACACAGATC